GATAGAGAAACAAAAAGAGGAAAGAGAGAAAGGTGTACAGCACTGAATTGTTATTACAAAGGTAATAGTAATGGCAATGGTAACTGTATTGCCATCTGTGCTCAGAAGGCAATGTCATTGTTAATGGGTTTATCTGAGACATAATGAAGAATACATGTATAGTCAGTGACATAGGCCTGTGACAATTACCATTACAGTTACTCGGTAATCAATTGACTCAAATACATGTACATGTACACAACATACCACTTACCATTGCATTAGTGCATATTAATCTCAACACATCCTTTTCTCTAAGTAATAAGTTAATGTCCATGGAACAAACTGTTTATTGATTATGAGTAGTTAACGGCACTAAAAGAGAGATAAAAGAGATGGTAATTTTAAGTAATTTTGATGTTTAAACATTGTACTTGTTCAAATTGGACATGCTCTGAATATTCTTAGCATTTTGTCTTAATTCCATTCTCCTGTACAATAAATGATACATCAACTATTACTGACCAAAGGACACTCACTATCTCTCATTTACTGTACATGTGTACATGCACTGAATAAAACATGCACTGTATTGTGAATTGTGTCTTACCATCATGTTGTTAGGATAGTTCTACTCCCACATCTTTTGCCGGAAATGGAATCTTGATTCTTGACACGCAATGCGTCTGTGATTCAAAAATGTACTATAATAATAAATAATATAAAAAACATGACATTGACGTACATGTGTTAACACAAGCTTATAGTATCAGTAAGGAACTGTATTTATACACAAGAAGACAAAGAACGTAAGAGATAGGAGAATCCTATATAGGAAGAAAAGAGAAAGAGCAAAAGTTAGATGTACATGTACATATACTAGGAGGAGAGAAGGCAAAAGAGAGGAAGAAATGTCAATACGAGACAAATTAAGATATACAAGAATAGGGGTCAAGGAACACAACAATGAGAATAGAGAAATGCAGTACCAATAAGGATGGGCAATATATCAGTACCTTAAGGTTACTTTTAAATGCGGGTACTATTAATTGCGAATTTTGCGTTTGGGTTAAAAATTGCAATTATTAATACGCGCAATTATTAATAATGACATCATGATGCCATATAGCTATTAGTAATAATTACTTAATCGCAATTTTTAATACCAGCAAAATCTACCTTGGGCTAAAATCGCAAAATTTAGTACCCGCAATTAAAAGTCACTCTAAGGTATTTAGTAACTATCATGATAATATTGTAGCTAACAGAATATAATCATTTCTTACTATACATGTGAGTGGTACATGTAATCAAATATCGTAACCCTTAGCACAAGTGTGATGTAAAAGGTACCACTACTAATCCAGACTGAGTTACATGTACTGTGTTGGATTTTCTAGGCTAGGAACCATTACAAAGGATCATTGTTATTGTAACAGCTTTGATGAACACAATTATTAGTAATTATTGTGATATCAAAATGAGATATTGTGCTGGTAAAACAACATTCAATATTTCCACCCTTAAGTACTTATTAACAACACACGTACATGTCAAGATTGCGTATTATTCAGTATACTATTACAAGATGCATAAACAGCTATAAGGATTATTATAATACCACATTGCAAGTTAGCTTAGACTGCATGATTGATGGCTGCTTGTAAATCTTATGCACACAGACACAAACCATATGGTGCACAGACACAACACCCTGGGGCAATAGTAATGATTACAGGGTACTAAGTAAAGTAGCATAATAGTAAAAGCAAGAGTTTTTGTGAACATCAGGAAGTAATTCAGTATAATGTAATTCCCATAATACAACACAGACTGGTATTACATGTATAGCAATATGCTATGAGTGACAACAACAAGTATAGCTGGAAACAACTAAT